TGTCATTTTTGTCATTCTTCTTCTGCATTGCCGTTGATTAGGCTGTAGCTTCTTGAGTGGGGACTGCCCATCTTTTACCCAGTAGGTTCTTGGTCCGTATATTTTTAATTAAATTTAATTACGGTAGAGGCAGCACATGCTAACCTCTCCTTTAATGATAATGTACAAGGGTTAAATATTGGCAATCCTTGATGTTCTAACCTCATTCCTTTTCTTACTCTACACAATCTCTCTTCATCTAATCTCCTATGGTTCTGTCTAAAGTATTTAATCAGGTTCTTTCTCTGTCTTCGTTGTGAAGCTGGACAGGTAATACCAGTCTACACTATTGCCAGAGAAGAGTTAAAAAAAACCCAAATCAAATTTTGTCATTTCTCTTGTTAAAATAATTCAGTGGTTCCCCATTATGTTCAGGATAAAGTCCAGACTTCAACTAGGCCCTCTGTGGTCTGACTCCCACTTACTCTTTCAGGCTTATATAGCACCACAGTCTTCCCCTCCTCCTTCCCTCCCACCAACACTATAGTGAAGTGTGTATAGTTAAGTGGGTTCAAATCCTGCTCCGCCATTTACTAGCTAGGTAACCTTAGAAAGTCACTATGTTCTCTCTGCCTTACTTTCTTTTCTATAAAATGAGGGACCCAGTAGTTTCTATTTCATATAGTAATTTGATAGACTCCACAGTTTAATATATGTTAAATGCTTATAATGGCCTGGCTGACAGTAAATAATTAATGTATGTCTGTGTTTTGTGTCTTGCTATTAATTGTTGTTAATCTACTTGAAGTTCATCAGAGATTATCATCGCTCTCATTTCTTCCTTTTTGCATATGCTGTTTCCCATGCTTAGAGTCACCCACTCCACCTGTACCTGACTTACCCCTGCTGTCTTCTGAGCTTCCGCTTGGATATAAGCCTGTCAGGGCAGCTAATTCATTTAGGCGCTGAAGGCTGAAGGCTGAGGGAAGGCGCCCAGACAGCGTTGGCTGGTGACAGTGGAGCGCCTAGGTCAGGCCAGGGAAGAGTGATTGCAAATGAGAGCCTTTAGTTGCAGGAAGGGCACACGGCTCCATAAATGAACATGCCTTCTCTATGATTAACGCAAGCTCTGACAGTGCATGAGGAAAGATGAGGTCCTTTGACTAACAGCTCTTTCAAGACCCTTCTTCTTTTTAAAAATATGTTTTTATTCATTTTAGAGAGGGGGAGAGAGATAGAAACATCAATAATGATGAGAGAGAATCATTGATGGGTTGCCTTCTGCACACCCCCTACTGGGATTGAGCCCACAACCCGGGCATGTGCTCTGACTAGGAATGGAACCATGATCACTTGGTTCATAGATCGACACTCAACCACTGAGCAGCACCAGCTGGGCAAGATCCTTCTTAAATATTCTTCCTACAGAGTCACCCTTTGCAGTTCTCAGTGGTGCAGATTATATACCTGCATATGATAGAGAGATGACTGGGGTTTAAATATTCCAAAGACCAGAGAGCTTTTCAAAGCATACCCAGATCATTGATTCTTAAACAGGGTCCCAGATTGGGGTGGGATGGGGGACAGGAGGAAGGTGGGGAAAGCCACATGCACCCCACCATCCTGAGAATCACTGTACCCAGTAAGAGGTGCAGTTTGTGGCAGTGAGGTGCACACACAGAGGATATGAAGTCCACAAAAATGGTTGAGCACTGTGATCACATTGAGGTCCATTTGCCTCATTTACAGATGAGGAATCTGGCCCGAGCTTTCACAGGATGGACTTTTCCTACCACACCAGGCAGCTCTTCAGACCTCATTTTGTTCCTCTAAGACCTCTGCATTGCAGAGTGCTTTTTGGCATACAAGGTCCTTTTTTAAAATTTTTTAGTAACTGAGAGCTTTTTGATGGGTTTCATGTCAGACCCACTCTGTTATGAAAAATGCAAAAGGTAAATGTGAGCAAGAAGAACAGGAGAACTTGTCAGAGCGACATGGAAGTAGCTGATAATACGAACAAATATTGGACAGTACTGGAATGATTTAGCACAATTTAGTAATAGTGTCTTAAATAGGTAGTACATTTAATTAAGCCACTGTATTCCAAGTTGACTCTGTGTGCTTGTAATTTTTCCGGGGACAAGATGAAACCATTCAATTTAATTTTAGGGCAAAGTACAGTGCATTTTACAGAAAGCTTAGGAATTAATTCAGAAACTGCCCTTAGAGTTCTGGCGTTTTCCACAGACCTTAACAGTTCTTTCTCATCCCGTCTTCTCTGGGTAATATCTAGATAGATCCAGAGGTCAACCTGGGCTCCACATCTTTCTTATGTAAAATAACACTTACCATTTGTTTGTTTTTTCCTAATAGGGCCTGGGCCCCCTGCAGAGTGGCTCATCATGTGAAGGAATCTCTACTTGATGTCACCCTAGTACTTTTCACCTTTCACACTGAGAAGGTCCTGAGCAACAACTGTCACTCTCTGAGGGTGGAAACTGCCATGATTCACAAAGACAAGAAGTAATTTTCCTGTAATCACAAGATGACTCAGGTTAGTTGCTTTCAGCTATTACTGCAATTTTAAATAATCTGAGGTTTTTGGCCCTGTCCATGTTTAGTAAACCTAATTAATCACAATTCCTATAATTCTAAGTTTATGACAATGATATAAAGTTGGAATTTATTTTTACACTAGGTAGGAAAAAGAATTTGAAAATAGTTGTACAGACTAAGTTAAAATTACAAGACTATACAGTATTTATGGTTTTTTAGAGTGTAAAATGCTTTTCTAGGACTTAAAAAGCATTGCTAAATGATACTTTTTTATTATACAAAAGTTTGCAATGTAATTTGTACTTGAAAGTAATTATGTAGATGTTAAGTTTGAAGAATCACCTGTTAAAAGCTAAAAAAAACACACAAAACACCCATGTATTTTATGATTAAGTATAAGTAAATTCTTTGAACTGTCTTGACCAACTTGTATTTTTATTTTAGAATTATAGCTTAAATACATCTTTAAAATGTAAAACAGAGTTTTAGTCCCTCATTTTAAATACTGTGTCTTCTGTGGTATTTATAGTGGGAGAACAATTTAAATTTTTTTAGTTATACGATTGTGGATGTTGCATGCCTAGGGTATAGCTCTAAAACAGGCCTCTGCTAGGGCAGGAAATCTGTTGTCTTGCAGAGGATGCTTAGGAAACAGCTCATTGATCCATTGATTCTACAGTTAATTACTGAATGACTGCCCAGGATCCAGTTCCTTCCCCCCAGGATCTTCCAATCTAGTTGGGGGCATATACAGAGTATAGAGTTCAAGATGGTAGCGGGAGAAATGCCCTAAGAGTGACAGAGATAATAACTACGCAGGACACAAAAACGCTGGGAGAGATTGTTTTTAGCTATAGGAGGAGGAAGCTGTGCTAGACTTTGAAGGCCAGGTGAGATTTTGGAGCGGGTAGGTGATAGGAGAGCATTTCAGATGAGAGAGAACTGCCTGCTGACTTCAGCGAAGACCTCAGTGAGGAGCTATAGAGGAGTTTACTGACTGAGTCGGGAAGGGTAAGGAGTGGCTCACGAGACTTCAAGGACTAGTCTCAGGGACTGGAAGCAGGACACTATGCTGCCATGTTTTGTTTTGTTTTTCTCCTCCATTTGTCTCTTATTCTGTTTGCTCCCCTGACTTCATTTTCTTCAACTTAAAGAACTCTCATCCATGTCTTTTCCTGGGGAAGAAAATGGCCAGTGGCAGCCTGACCTTTATGCCTTTCTTATTCTGTGATGCCAGAGGCAAGGCCAACATTTCTTTGGCTCTACACTGAGATATCTCGAGGAAGGGCTCTGATTGGATCAGCTTTTATCACCTGGCCACCCTTGAACCAATCAATGATTGTGTCCAGGAATATAGGATACCATGATTGGCCAGGGCTAGGTCACATGCCCATCCAGGAAAGGCAAGATACAAATTATCAGAAGGGGGAAGGTGAACTTGGTTGGACAAATAAAGACAATAGATAGTCTAGCCTACTCAGAGCTAGATATACCTAAAGTGATATTTTAATATTGTAAATCCAATCATGTTGCCCCCCAACTCACCTACCAACTTAAAACCTCTTTCTATTGCTCTTAAAAAAGCTCCCAATTGGATGAACTGTTGAACAAAATAGATCCAAAGACATAGAAGCAGGGGACAGACTGTCTAACTTCAGAGAGAAGGCGGGGGGATGGTGGGTGGGTGGGTGAGAAGAGATCAAACAAAGAGCTTGTAGGCATATATGCATAACCCATCGACAGACAATAGGGTGGTGAAGGCCTAAAAGAGGCCAGTGGAGGGGGGGGGGGGCGGGGGGAAATAAGTAATACTTTCAACAGTAAAGACTTAAAAAAACCCTCCAAATTGGGTCTTCAGATTTTCAGTGCATAACTTTATGTGACTTCTCCTTACCTTTCAAATTATTTTCCCTTCTCTCATGACTCACCAACAAGGCATCAGCTACAGGGGTCCAGAATTTGGCTGCATAGAGATTAGGAAGCCTGGCTAAACCAAACCCTGTCTCCCTAGCTTCTCCTTGAACCCTGCGCTTTTATTTTACTATGAGTCTTACTAGCTTAACTACATTACCAAATTCTCAAGGAATTTGCATATATAATTCACATGGAAAATATTGCAGGAAATTTAAATCCACAGAGTCAAAAATGTCCTACTGGATAGTCCTAGCTACAAATCGATTTCACAGTCAGCTATTTGTTCTGCAGTGTATAATCTTAACTGGAAAATACAATAAAACAAAAAAATAGATGTATATTGTTCCCACAGTATAGTTACTTCTTTATGGTAGAGGCCAGGCAATTGGGAGAGGACTTAGAGAACGTTCTCCAAGGGGTGTTGTTCAGATACTACAAATTCTGAGCTGGTAGCTAGAGCCAAACTGAAGGGAATTGAGTTTTTGTTGATTGCCACTTAACATTTGCAAGTGCAATAAAGTTGATTTGTTCTAGGTTCTCGAAATTGTATTGTCTGATTGATTTCTTAAAGGGAAAACATTTAAACAGACTAAGTCTACTGAAAAGAAATTTTTTTTATTCTACTGAGATTTTGATTTAAAAGAAAAGCACTCAGTGTTTTGGTTTTTTCTGGTGTGTAGGCAGTTGTAGCCAGCCATATGTTTACTTTGTAAATTCTAGTTGAGGGTGCAATATAAGCTGTTTCAATTTGGGTGGAAGTTTTGTCAGACCTCACAAATGAGATCTGTACTCTGTTAGGAGTTTGCCAGATTTGCTGGGACTGTGTGCAGGTCCATGGTAATTAAGGATAAACTACTCCTAATTTGTTTGAAGAGTAAATCCTAAAAGTCTCTTTCTTGCTATAGAAAGAATGATGAAATTAGAATACAGTTGTCCCCTGTACCTCCTAGTGGATGCCTGAGCCATCGATAATACTGAACCCTATCTGCACTATGTTTTTTTCTATACATATAGGAGGTTTACATATATATATATATAAAGTTTAATTTCTAAATTAGGCACAATAAGAGATTAATAACAATAACTACAATAAAATGGTTTGTAATAACAGTTATGTGAATGTCTTTCTCTCTCTCTAAATATCTTAGTGTACTGTACTCACCCTTCTTATGATGATGTGAGATGATACAGTGCCTTCGTGATGAGATGAAGTGAGGTGGATATGATGGACAAAAGGATAATTCATGTCCTGGGCAGGACGTAGGGGAATGGCAACAGATTTCATCATGCTACTCAGAACAGCGTACAGTTTAAAACTTACGAATTGTTTCTTTCTGGAATTTTCGATTTAATATTTTCAGGCTGTGGTTGGCCATGGGTAACTTAAACCTCAGAAAGCAAAACTGGATAGGGCTGGGGGGACTACTCTATTGCTATTTGATGATAATTGTGGTAAAGATTGTTTTAAGTAAGAGTCATCAGTGGGTTGGATGCTAAAACTGGTGGGTGAGAGGATGAGAAACAGGACGTTTCCATAGTCTCAAGAGATTTTGTTGCCGGTGGAAAGAGGGTTCTTCCACGGAGTCACGAGAAAAGCATTTTGAGGCCCCCCCGCGAGGAGGATGAGGTGTCGTGGTAAGATTTATTGGAGCAATAACAGACTGTCCCCAGGTGCCTGGTGTCTCATCCACGACCAGATGGTTCAGCTCCATCCCGCTGCAGAGTAAGTCCACTCTCTGGGGCCGTAAACCCACACTTGTCTTCACCCAGCCCCGGAGGACCAGGGCCCAGAGGTGCAGAACTTCTCTGCCTCATTGCCCTATCTGCACGGCCACTGCCAAGGCTGCACTTGGGCCGCACCTGGTGCTGTGTTTAGTTAGGCCTGCTTGGCTGCTGGGCCTAAACACAGCACCTGCTGCTACAGAGAGAGAACGCTGGAACCAACGGGTGAACGAGCAAATTCCTTGGGGCTTGGGAGAGAGCAGACTTTCTTTCAAACTAGCCTGTCTCTCCCCTGGCTCTTAGCGGGCTTATGCTGGGTCCTCCCTCTATCCAACTCAGTCTTTCCCCCCAGGTTTTCCATGTTAGACTTTGCCCCTTTGTGTTACCATTTTGGCTCCTACTGTGTGTCCCCAAAGTCTTGCTGCATCATCTGGTTTATACTACGCATGCGCTTACCTCTCCCTGCACCATCTTGGCTTCTACTGCGCGTGTGCCTAGCAAAGGCATTTCCCCTGATGTTTTTACCCCTCACTCAGCCATCCTGGCTAATGACTGAGAGCCACCTCTTCCTGCCCGCTCTGGGGATTCAGTCCTTTCAGCAGAGGATGCAGCTGGCCCCTGGGGACCCTGTTGGTGCTGTGGCTTCCTAGTAAGTCAGGCTTAATGTCTGACTCGTCTCCCTAGTGAATCAGGCTTCGTGTGCGGTTCCATTTGTTCCCTTCCTTAACGAACTGGCTACCTACACTCACAGGACGCACGGGATGCAACAGGCAGGCCAGGGGCAGGACTGAACTAGCTGATCTGCACCAGGAGGGCCAACTGGGTTCATACATGATTGAACTTACTTTCATACTGATTGGTAACGAGCCACAGTTTCAGCATCTGGCTATTCCCCTGGGCTGCTCCTCACTCACGTGCCACAAGAGAATAACGAAAACATTAAGCCCCAAACAGCAGAGGCCTCTAAGACCTGCTCTTGTACCTCTCCCACTCCCTTCTGATTGCCCATGTCCTGCAGAGGAGGTCAGGGGAGGCTTTCTGGAAGAAGTGAGGCTGTGCCGAGAATGAATAGAAGTTAGCCAGGTAAACACTGCACTGGTGCAGGCCCTGGGACGAGGGGGAATGAGTGGCGGCTGAGAAACCATGCATCACTGAGTATCACAGCTCGTCTGATGCTGGCGAAGGATGGAGAGAAATGGCTTCAAGAGGCAAGGTGAGGCCAGGTCAGAAAGGGATTTGTACGCCCTCCTAAGACACCTGAACTTGATCAGGCAAGTATGGAATGCCTTTGAAGAAGTCTTAGCTACGAAGCAACACAATTAGATTTATATTTTATAGAAATAGTTGTGGCAGAATTGAAGAAAGGGACTGAAGGGCCCAAAACACACCTGCTTACGGACTCTTGACATAATTCAGGTAAAGAAGTAAGCACCCTTTCTAAAACAGCATCCCTGGGGATGTAGGGAAATGGTTGGCATCCAGAGACACTACAAAGGTAGAATCTGTCGGGCTTTGTGACTGGATTGGAGTGGTGAGCTGCATGCTACACATTTTTAAAATCTGTTTATCATCAGAAGGATTTTATCCAAGTGAATCTTTCGTATGTGCTTCCAAAACTTAGAACTGATCTTGCACAGGAAATGACAGTGACCAGCTCATTCCCAAACCATTATTTTCTGAGGACTTGCCAGTAAAGCCGATGCATTTTTTAGTCTTTTGACAGCTGTGGTGAAGGCTTTTCTCTTTGCAGTTTCTAGTAAAGATCAGCACAGCCTTGGGCAGCGGTAGGTTCCCAGGTTTAGGACACGCGCCTCCTCCTTCAGCCGCCTCTAACCGGCCTTTCTCGGGGTGGCCCTGTTTCCCCAGGATGGACCATGAGGCGGCCCAGCTGGAGAAGCAGCATGTGCACGACGTGTATGAGAGCACCGCCCGGTACCTCAGCGACCTGCAGGGCAAAGCCTGGCCCCGCGTCCGCCAGTTCCTCCAGGACCAGGAGCCCGGCAGCCTCATCGCCGACATAGGTAACGCAGGGCCGGGCGCGTGGTGAGAAATACATCCCATCGTGTCTTTCTTTTCAGGGTCAGTTTTCCTTGCTGTGCGAACCAGAAATCTGACATTGTGCCCTTGGCATGCCTGTCACCCAGCTCATTCGCTTTATTTTTTTAATATACTTTTATTGATTTCAGAGAGGAAGGGAGAAGGAGAGAGAGAAATATTGATCGGCTACCTCCTGTGCGCCCCACACTGGGGATCTAGCAGGCAACCCGGGCATGTGCTCTGACTGGGATAGGTCTATCTAGGCTCAACCACTGAGCCACACCCCAGGGCAGCTCATTCACTTTATAGCAGAAATTCATACAATCAAGTCACCAAGCAGGAAACTTCCTCAAACTTACATTTAGACGGTGGCGATCTTTTCAGTGTTTGGGGGCACATCCTCCAGCATCGGTTGAATAAATCAGGATTGAAATGACTGCTTGGGAAGCTGACTGTTGTAACTTTAGAGATGTTCACATGTGTATATAGTCTGTTCTGGTGGCTCACCTCCAGTGGCTCTCGTGCCTTCCACAGACGATCCAGAGATCATAGATTTCCTGTAACCTCTTATTACATGGATTTTTTCCCCCTGAACTATTCTGAGGGTGTTTCATTATTAGAGCCTGTCTTTAAATAGATCATGTCTTTATAATCACAGGTTTGCCTGGCAGATTTTGGCTAAGGATGTTTCTGAATTGAGTGGTAAACCACAGCCCGGTAGACCTAAGATTAAGGTCTGGGCTCCCCATTTGAGGCCTGCCCGCCTAAAACTGCTTTCTAACAACTGCATGAAGATTACACCCATGGAGTCCTAAGTCTGTTCTTACCACTCGGACTAATTTGACATTCACTCTAAGTGCTGGTAAGAGAAACACATGTGCTGGCCAGGGCTTTTGACTTGTTAAAGATGGTGCAAGCAGTGTGGAATTTGGGGAAGGGCGGTGCATGTCATGTAGAAATAGAGCGTCTTTGATAATATCTCTATCATGTCAGTGTCTGTTTTTTTTAATAAATCTGGTTTCAGAAGATACATTGACTTTGGAACTCTTACCATTCATAGTCTAAGCACAGTACCAGGTTCTTAAAATCAGCTGGTAGGAAAAGACACTATTCAACACGTGGCTTTAAGACCACAGCATGCACATATGCTACTTTCTTTCTCATACCTTACATCAGAAATTCCAAATGAAGTACCGATGGAAGTATAAGAAAATGAAATCATTAAAGGACTAGGGAACAACTAGATTATTTTAAAATAATAAAATTAAAAAGAATAAAAGAATAATTTTAAAAGATAAAATAGCCCTAGCCGGTTTGGCTTAGTGGCTAGAGCGCCAGCCTGTGGACCAAAGGGTCTTGAGTTCAATTCCAGTTGCAGGCTCCTCCCCAGACCAGGAAGCAACCAATCGGTGTGTTTCTTTCACGTCAATATTTCTCTCTGTTTTTCCCTTTCTCTTCCACTCTCTCTAAAATCAATGGAAAAATATCCTCGAGTGAGGATTTAAAAAATAAATAAAATAAAAAATACTCTCAGAGGCAAAAGGCCTTTCTCTGTATGATATATTTTTTTAAAAGTCAGAAAGCATTAAAAAAATACAATTGATTGTCATTTTTCACAGTATTTATGTTCTATAAAGTTGCCAAGGACACCGAATTAGTGAATCCTGCATGATAACCCTTAGGGGAAGTACAGGATGCAGTTCCTGTGAACCTCTGGTCACATTTTTGTCAACTGGTCAATACCCAACCTAGTTCCATGTGTGTTTCTGTTTATTATTGACTAGAGGCCCGGTGCACAAAAATCGTGCATGGGGTGGGGGGACAGGGGGTAGAGGTACCCTTAGCCCAGCCTGCACCCTCTCCAATCCGGGACCCTGTCTGACTGCTGGCTTAGGCCAAATCCTAAACCAGGATCGGGCCTAAAACCGGCAGTTGGACATCCCTCTCACAATCCAGGACCACTGGCTCCTAACTTCTCACCTACCTGCCTGCCTGATCAACCCTAACTGCCCCCTTTGCCAGCCTTATCACCCCTAACCACCTCTGCCTGCCGGCCTGGTAGCCCCTTACTGCACCCCCCCCCCGTCCCCCCCCTCCCCCCCCCCCCCCCGCCGGCCTGGTCGCCCCCAACTGCCCCCTTGCCAGCCTGGTTGCCCACGCAGCCTGCTGTTCGGTCGTTTGTTTGTCCTTCACTAACCCCCCTGCCAGCCTGGTCACCCCACGCAACCTGCTGTTCGGTCGTTACTGTTACTGTGATGGTGTCCTGGGCGATTTGCATATTCCTCTATTATTAGTATAGATTTGTTAACAATGAACTCATAGGCGACAACTATATCTGATGCCTGGACAGAGTGTATTTTGTCCATGAGGCCCGTCTCAGCCTTCCTGCACTTAGAAACTGTAGGCAGCACTTCAGCACGATGCTGAATTTTAAACAGTGAAATCACCACCAAAATACGGAAATGCACAAAATGTGTGTGGTGCAGAATACAAAATAGAGGGAAATGGAAGCATGCAGACACTTTCTGGTCTCTCTTCAATCCTACGAAAGGTCAGTATTTAATGAGACTTTGCAAAGGACCTGGTTGTTGTGTACCTGTGCTTGCTGCAGCATCGAAGATCTTCTGATTTATTTCTTGCACATTTACAATAGTGGGTGACTAGGCGTGGCTGTGTTCTGGCTTTCCTTATTAGGATAAAACCTTCCCTCTCTAGCATCTCCGTGTGTGCACCTAGAAAATGGATAACTACATCAGATTTGGGATCTCCACTGCTATCCTTAAACATGAATACCATTAGAAATGAATTTGGGATGAGTCATGCTGGGAAGTTTTTAGGAGATGCTGAGATTTTTAAAAGACTTCAGTTTCCTCGTTATTACCAGATGCTCCCTGAACACTTCCTTCTAGCACTAATCATCTATAAGTCTGTTTTTATTAGTATTTTTGAAGTAATTTTCCTTTCATTTCTCTAAATGTAGCCCCTGAGCCAATAAAAAAAAAAAACAATAAAAAAAAACAAGATTCTTTTAAAAAACATGACCATCATCTTTGTAATCAGGATTTCAGTTTTAGAACACTCTGTGGATTATATTTTCCCCATGATTGCTCTTAAATATTGGATACTTTTTCTCGCAAGCATTCTTAGGAACAGTGGCCATGAGATCTGAAATATTTATAAGACCTCAACCATTTACATGGAAATAATAACATTGGAAATATTCGTTTTTATTCTTAAGCCCTCCACTGTCTCACCTGGCATCAGCAAACCTTAATTATGCTTGTGGTGTCTCATGTAATTTTGAACAGCTTTTATCAAGGAGGAGTTATTTAAAAAGTGTGACGGCCCTGCCGGCATGGCTTAGTGGTTGAACGTTGATCTATGAACCAGGAGGTCACAGATCCATTCACGGTCAGGCCACATGCCCGGGTTGCAGGCTCGGTCCTCAGTGGGGCATGCAGGTGGCAGCCGATCAATGATTCTCTCTTATTATTGATGTTTCTTTCTCTCTCTTCCTCTCTGAAATCAATAAAAATAATATTTTTTTAAAAGTATTTCAGAAGTTGCAAATTAATCATCTTTGAATAGTGGTTATATTTTAGAAAAATATGAGACAAAAATCTACAGGTAATTCCAGAAGGTACAAATATCATCAGCTCTGTTGATATCTTTAAATATTTCTGAAAAGGAATTAGATGAGGTGTCTGTACTAGAATATACCAGGTACTAGATTTGGAAGGCTTTGTTTCAGGATGGTGATTCATTCACGGTACCATCTTCTTCCCTGTAATATCACTGAGATCTGATTGACCTAAATCTGTGGGCTATGTAAATGTTGAATGACTTGGGTCTCTGCCATCAGAAAGTGAATGTCAAAAATGGTCTATTTAAGAAAAGAATAGTTCTTTCTTAGGTTGTATACTGAGTCATGTGAAACCAAGCACCGACGATAGGGTGGATGAAAAACTGTTGAAATCTTTTTTTCATTCAAATTAAAATTTTTGAAAAGCCTATTTTCTTTATAACCATTTAAAAGTTGTGGGCAGTAGTTTGTTTTATGTAACCAGTAAGCAGTCTGTCTGTCTAGAGAGATGGCAGGAGAATAAAGGCCAGAATATATGGACCTGTACATAATGAAATATGGATGTGAAGGCAACTTTTGTAAAGGGACTGGACACTGCTCCTGGGACGCTAGAGACCAATCATTTCTTCCGTGGGCCAGCTAACAGCTGTGCTAGCATGCTGTGCCCTCTGGACATTACCTCGCTCAATATTTAGTAAGTATTATTTAGGTTTTCCAATCCCCTTTCCCTCTTCTATTCTATCTGAAAATATGTAGGAGCTGTCTGAAGGCTTTGCTTTTGCTTCTGTGTTTACCTTCATACCACGCTGTATTCTGGGTCAGTTAGTTAATCTAAAGCTTTTCTGTTCTTGTTATAAGACAAGCTGACCGACGTTGTTCCATTCTCCTTTAAGCATGTAACACAGTTTTTCTCTTACAGGTTGTGGGACTGGAAAGTACCTGAAAGTGAATAGCCAGGTACATAGCCTGGGCTGTGACTACTGTGGGCCGTTGGTAGAGATTGCCCGGAGCAGGGGATGTGAGGTCATGGTGTGTGACAACCTTAACCTCCCCTTTAGGGATCAGGGCTTCGACGCCATCATCTCCATAGGAGGTAAGGCAGCCTGGTTACACGCTCCCTCTTTGCCATGAGAATCATGTCGCGTGGTTGAGGCCATTCTTACAACCCAACGTCCATTCTTTGTGGAAGGATCTATGTCAGTGGTTCTCAACCTTCTGGCCCTTTAAATACAGTTCCTCATGTTGTGACCCAACCATAAAATTATTTTCGTTGCTACTTCATAACTGTAATGTTGCTACTGTTATGAATCGTAATGTAAATATCTGATATGCAGGATGGTCTTAGGCGACCCCTGTGAAAGGGTCATTCTACTGCCAAAGGGGTCGCGACCCACAGGTTGAGAACCGCTGGTCTATGTAGTTCATTTTATCTAATTTTTTAAAATATATCAACTGACTGAATTATTTGACTAATCTCAAATGTACTTATGGTGGGACCTATAATTATTTTAACTAGTTAAACTTTCAAACTGTTATTTTATTCTTTTGGATGACTCATTCCAGTTTCTTTTGCTTATGAGTAAGGAAGTAGTAGAGGAATTTTACTCACTGAGGACAGTACTTTGTTATATTGCAGTGTAGCCAGATCTCCCAGCGTGAGGTGGACATTTCAAAGCCATATGACCTATTTTAGGCCATAAGTGTGCTCTTTAGTAGCAGACTATTGTAGGACAAATGCCACCTGGAAGGATGTGTCATCCAATCTGCCACTTGCTGGTAGGCAAGTCCCGGGGGAAGACAGCCCCACCTGATCCCAGATTGCATTGTTTTTATAATGCCACTCAGCTCGAACTGCCAGAGATTGCTCATAAATCTAGGGAGTATGTTTCTCATATCCTCCCAGCAAGTGTGCCCATAAATACACATGCCACAACTTAAAATAAAACAAGACACAGCAAAAACCCTTGCCTGAAATTTACACAGGCTCATTTTACTCAAAACACATAGTCCTGAAACCTGGTAGGTTAGTCATATTTAAATATGCTTGGTGCCCTTGATGATCTCATGGCAACTTCTTTGGCAAAGCAAACTATTTGCTCCAAAACAATTTAAAAATTAATCTATTTGAATATACTAAGCTTTATTAAAGCAAAGGGAACCTATATAAAATTGACTGACCAGATAAAAACTCAGCATAAAATGGTTTGCTCTCTCCTGAAGTAGATGAGAAGTGGGTTTATTCAACATTAGATGGGGACTGTATCTTTGTATATTGAGGCCTGGATGCCGTAACCTTGGAACTAGTTAGGACCGGCAGGAGATGGTTGCCATGGAAACCTGCTGTGTAATAGTCCTGCTTCTTTGCAGTTGAAACTGTTAAGTTCAAAAGGGGGACATTTGTAAAGACCTAGAATCTGAGAGAGGTCAGAGAGGAGGATTCCTTGCTCTCCGCTAGCCTACATTAGGGTTAGGGTCTGCACGGCCACCTACATCCAGGCCAGGCTGCTGAGCCCCTGTGGTGGGCGTGGGCTGTTAACCTGCTTTCCTGCTTTGGGGCAATGCTCTGTGTGCACAGGGTCAAGTTCTTCTCTGCTTCCAGCTGAAGTCCATGCCTTGTTCCAGAGGAAGTGGGGCATACTGGCTGTCATCCTCTGGTGAGAAGTGTTCCCTTAAGTGGAAACACAGCCTGTGCCCTGACCATGATGGAACCAGCCACCTTTCAGTGCACAGGATGACACCCAACTGAGCCACACCGGCCAGGGTGCTATATGTTTTTGTTTGTTTGTTTGTTTTTAAATATATTTTATTGATTTTTTACAGAGAGGAAGGGAGAGGGATAGAAAGTTAGAAACATCGATGAGAGAGAAACATCGATCAGCTGCCTCCTGCACACTCCCCACTGGGGATGTTCCCACAACCAAGGTACACGCCCTTGACTGGAATCGAACCTGGGACCCTTGAGTCCTCAGGCCAATGCTCTATCCACTGAGCCAAACCGGTTAGGGCTATATGTTTTTTATAAAATGTCCCCTAATAACATGTTTATGATGATATAAAGGCAGTCCTGCTTGACTCTCACTTTAACTTTGCAAGGATTGAAAGTAAAAAAGATGACCTAGAAGTTACTTTTTAAAAAAATATATTCAACCATTTTATATTACATTAACATTCTTAAAAATGATAAGCAATCATTTGGACTTGAGCTTGACTGTTTATCTTTGCATTATCTAAGTAGGAAAACATCTTTAGCGGTTTTCTCCACTCCTATTTGACTTACTAACACTGATTAGTGGTATTAATCCTTCAGAGCTTTAGAAGTACTAATCACTCATTAAAGTAATGAATTACTGCATAGAATTCTACTGGTAGCACTTACCTAACTTAGTGCTTCCTTGCAGATTTTATCAGTTCACATTGTTCACCCTCTAGTTAACACAATTCATAGGATTTGGGAACTGGAAGAGATTTTACACATTATTCATTCGAGGTGTCATAGATGAAGAGACTTAAAACCCATATAAGTTAAATAATTTCCCAAGATCAGTTGTCTACTGATTACAGGAGTCAACGCTAGCAATTATGTCTCTCCCAAAGCCACGCCTGTGCTATGTCTACCACACGCCCTGTCCTGTAGGAAATACGGAGATCTTACTACATGTCAAAATTGCATCCCTGTTACATGGAAAATACTAATACATGAATGTGTAGGCTTATGTATGTACATACACGTTGAGATCGAGTTTCTTCTTTTTCCAGTTATACATCATTTCTCTACAAAACAAAGAAGAATCCGAGCAATAAAGGAAATGGCCCGCGTCTTGGTTCCCGGAGGCCAGCTGATGATTTACGTTTGGGCTATGGAGCAAAAGAACCGGCACTTTGAGAAGCAAGACGTGCTGGTTCCGTGGAACAGGGCCTTATGCTCCCGGCTCCTCTGTGAATCCAGCCAGCCCGGGAGAAGGAAGCCGTGTGGACACCTAGAGAGAAGCCACCCCTACCACCCTCCTTGCTCCGTGTGTAGCTGCTCTGTTTGTTTTAAGGAGCGACGGGACTCCAAACGGTCCCACAGCCTGGACTACGAACCTGTCAGGGCCAGGACTTGCTGTGCAAACATTTCGAAGGACGCTGGGGAAGGAAATGGGTTCTGTAACACATTAGGGAAATCTTTTCGCTCCTGGTTTTGCTCCAGATCTTTGGATGAGTCAAGTCTGAGGAAGCAGATCGAAAGAGTGAGACCCTTGAAAAACACAGACGGTTGGGCCACCAGCACTATCTCCATCCAGCCTTCCAGACACTCTAGTTTAGACAGGGACCCCCAAGAGCCATTTTCAACAAGAGAGCCAAGTTCAGACGAGGACGTGTTTGTGGAAAGTTCTCAGAAGCATTTGGAGTGGCTGAGAGCACCAGCCCCCGGGAAGCATCTCCGTGGAGACCCTCAAGGAGAAACCGGGAGGAGTGGCGGTGGGGATGGTCTGGGTAGCGCCCGCTCTCCTGAGGAGGGTGCGGCTGCGGGTGCCTTAGGAGAAGGGAAGCCTTCTGTTCGTAGACCACTGAGGAGGATCTCTACGGTTGACTCCACAGATTCCATCCCAGACGACACAATTCCTGTGGAAGGACAACAGCCCGACGTTTTGGATTCCAGGGCCTTTATGCGCTACTACCACGTGTTTCGCGAAGGCGAGCTCTGTGGCCTGCTGAGGGAAAACGTGTCAGAGCTCCATATCCTGAGCTCTGGGAACGACCACGGCAACTGGTGCATCATCGCCGAGAAAAAGGAGACCTGCGGTTGACCGGCTCATCTCAGACAGCTCCTCTGGAGATGCGCCCCGCTCCTGTCCCCGGCGTTGGGATGGCGACCTGACTCTGCATCCACTTCCACTGTTTTTTGACCCACGCATGCTCTGGTCTGCAGAGACTGTGGAAGGTCATCTTTGAATCTTTGCGTAAACACAGAGCCGGGCGTCTGAAGCACTTGGCGAAGGGTGTTTGTGGGGAAATGCTGATGGAAGAGATCTGAAGAAGCAGCGTGCAGTGCGCTTCAGTACAGTTTGGGGGTTTTCCCCCCTGAAAGGTGAAATTATTATGAGACTACACGTGTATAGTTTTTCAGTCTTATAAACTGATTTTAAAAGATCCCGTTTGTAAGTATACCTTCCATAAAAGGCATTTTTATAAAGTTAGGGGGTAATTCTGTTTCTCGGATTATATTTTAGATCTGTGTGCCAGATAACAGGTAAGCCTGTTCCGTGGCACAGATGGAAATCGAACCGGGTGATAAATTATTTTGTTGCCAAGGCCTTGCTTCGACTTAAAGTCTTCAGAAAGGCGAGAAACAGGAGAGAGAGAAAAAAAGTGTTACCGGACTTTTCACAACGGTAAGCAATCTCGATTCAAGCTACGTAGATAACAAGGTTATCGGTGTCACTCAGAAGTTTTTAAAGGCACGGTTAGCACAGAGTGTCTGTGGGTATTGGTAGTTGGTATTTTTCTGACCTTAATAGACCAGGAATATCCAGTTGTGATAAGACCAAGATTGACCAAGGAGGAGTTTTCACCTAGAACAGTGGTTCCCACCTTTTTTTGGCATGCCCCACCTAAGGATCTCTAAAATCCTGATGCCCCCCTGTGGCATATAATTCTTATTATTCAAAAAGTGAACTCCTATTCACACGGAGGAAGCCTAAAAGGCCATGAACTTGGTCTAAGTTCCAAAGAACATGGCATCCATGAAAGAGAAAAATAAAAGAACGAAAGGATAGTTGAAGTACTGAGGAAGAAATCACTAAGAAATTGTTTTAAAAATAATAATAATATGAAGTGATATGAAAAAATAGCAAAGTTTCAAAACATAATAGAGAACTGAAATGCATCAATATGTCACAATACATATTTATATACTGTATATGAGGCCCCTAGAACCATAAGAAATGCAAAAAAAAATTCACTGTGAATAACTCCTTCTCGAATTGCCCCCCTGTGGGGCGTGGGGCCCATGTTGAGAACCACTGATCTGGAATGATGATCTTTGGACTGAATGGATATTGAAGAAACGAGGGTCTGGGTGGCGCTCTCTTTTGGCCCTCAGTACAAAAGGCTGTTAAGGGGTAAGACATTTGGCTCTGGTGGGAGGTCAGGTGTTGAACTTTTGAAAATAACACGCGGGTGTTTATCCTTTTGAAAGTGACCATTTTGTTTGTGATAGTAGACACTGAGGCAGAATCAAGTCCTATTCATTGAAGGGTGAATTCCTGCCACTTCCCAGACAAGCCCGCAGATTGGGCGTTGTGTGGTCACTGCCTCTGTTGAGATTTAACCGTGGGTCTGTTTAAATTCACGTCATGGATCCTGAAACGTAGGTATAACTAGGACGGGACTAGAGATCTAAGAAAAGCAGAAAGAAGCTGACCCAGGAATACAGCCTCAGATATTTCCTCAATGAGGAGAGAATTGGCATTCGACAAAGAGCCTATATACTTTATGGACCATTGTAATCCCGAATGAAAATCCAATTCTTGTTCTATTTTCCACTAAAATTAACTAAAACAGTAAAGTATTTCATTTGTTTCTTTTTTCCTTCAGTGATTGTGCTCTGACTTAATAATGCTACTTTCAAAGAAACTTAAAGAACAATTTTTAATGCTTAGCGGAACATTACCAATGCTTATAACTCATTTGGCTTTAAAATAAGACTGCATCACCACCTTTCTGGTTGATGAGGTTGTGTGGTAGAAATGAGACATGGTTTGTATTGTTCAGTGCAGTTTGCATTAGCGAGACAATGAAAACAGGCAGAGAAGTGGGATATAAATTAGAAATTAATTTAGTGTCATCCATTTCTCTTTTTAAAATACATTTTTACTGATTTCAGAGAGGAAAGGAGAGGGAGAGAGAGAGAAACATCAGTGATGAGAAAGAATCATTGATCGGCTGCTTCCTGCACGTCCCACACTGGGGATCGAGCCCCAAACCCAGGCATGTGCCCTGACTGGGGATCAAATCAAACCATGACCTCCTGGTTCATAGGTCGATACTCAGCCACTGAGCCACGCCAGCCGGCAGTGTTGTCCATCTCTTAAATTAGGACATTAAACCATGAGTATAAGTGGTTTTATTGGTAGAAAGAAAAGCTTCTCGGAGTCAGAGAAGTTCTTACATTTAAAGCTTGATGGCCTTTTTATTGCGAGTGGATTTTTCCTCTCTTTGAAGCCTCTAGTCAGATGTATTTTTAATCCCAGTCCTGCTGCGAGAAATCAGTCGGAAGTCTTTCTGGTGGTAGCCTGCCACTTACATAAAACTCAGTTCATTAGACTAGACTGCTCCAAAAAGCTTTGAGCTAACCCGGATGAGCAGCCTCCTACACACACACACACACACACACACACACACACACACACACTTTGTAGAAATGATTCTTTAGAATGGTTTTTGATAAAGACATATTTTCACATAATTTTGACAGGGCTGTAAATGAAAAACCATTAATAACAGCAATCTTTCACTCTTCGTCTGCTGAGCACAGAATTCTATGCATCCAGACCTTATTTTGTATGCAAATATTTAATTCTATGGCTGATAATGTCTCTTTGGTACATTCATGTGAAAAGCATTCTTAAATCTAACTTTTACCTTTGGATATATATCCATATATATCATATATCATATGATATATATGTATATATATATGTGTGTGTGTGTGTGTGTGTGTGTGTGTATGTATATGTATATATATATATATATATATATCATCAATGGAAGAGCCTAATGTAAGTATCTTGATCAGTTCGAAGTCTTGCTCACCTTTAAAATTGTCCTCCAAAGGAAATACAAGTCATAAGTGAGCTTAAACACTCACAGGTTATTTGTGAGTGTTCAGTCTGCCTTAACTTGCTCGATTATAGATTTTTTTGCTGCTCTATCTGAAATGATTTAAAAGCTCAGACTCCATTATTAATACTGGCCCAACAGTATCCCACTCCTTCTCTTTTACTCGCTGGCATCACTGCAGAGTCCCCCAATCAGAAGTAGAGGGATTATTGGGGATGTTTCTAAAAACCTTTGCTGGCTTATTGCTGCCTCACTGGCTTATTTGTGGAATTCTATATAAACAGTCAAATGATTTGGGAAAACCGCATTCACAGAGACAGAGGATGCAATCAAAATAACGTTCTGGTGGGAACCATGCGCGAGGCCTTTTCAGATTATTTTTAAATTGTCACTGCAGTGATGAAATGACACCAGCCTATCGTAGTAACTAGCAGACCATCTAACATATCTTGGAGCATCATGTTGGTCCTTCTTTCTCCTCATCCATTCTTTTGCAGGAAGCTGTGTAATTCTTGTCTCTAGTTTGCCTTCCTGTGTCCTCGCAAATTCTAAATGTCAAGAATTCCCTGCATTTTAACTGAGCATCAACTGAATGGCCAAAAATTAGACGTAATCCAGAGAAGACTAACCCAACTGTAAATCAGCTAGAAACATCAATGAACTTGTATATTAATGACCACAAAAGATGTAAGCGTTGGTGGACTTTTTAAGTAAAAATAAACACGTTTGAAGGAGGACAGAGGCTCTAATCCAGTAGTTGTTAAACTTAGTGGGGCAGCTTAAAAGTGAACTTGCACACCCACTGTAGGAGGGAGAGGGTGGAGTGGAAACACTGGCCAAGCAGCTACAGTCTAAGAAGAACAAATTAGGGCAGGCCGGAGCTTTTGTCTCCTACTATGTAGAAAATTTGAAATATATTGGTAACAGCTAACTTTTCTTAATATCTAACATTTATTTTATCTGTAATCCTAACCATAGCCCTCTAAAATAAGCATATTTATTGTTCCCATTTTACAGATGAGGAAAACTGAGACAGAAAGAAATTGCCCAGCATCACAGTCACACCCATAGTAAGTATCACACATCTAGTGAGGGGCAGGGCTGAGCTTCAACCCCTGGCAGTCTGACTCCCAGCCAGTACTCTCAACCACAACACTATGTACACCCAGTCATAGTATTAGACAGATTTTAAGAGCCCTTCAAGGTTAAGCAAAGATTACACACCTAAACAATAATTCCATTGCTGTTCCTTACATATCTTCGCCCATCTTTTATTGTTTTTTTCTTCATTTTCGAGTCTGTTTCAATTTGATTTCAATTGAGAAAAAATAGTCTTGTTCACAAAATGTTGTGTGATCACTTCTCTCCAACTCTTCAATCTTTTAAAAATGGTATTACCATCCTGGCCGGTGTAGATCAGGTGGCTGAGCCTCATCCCGTGCTCAGAGAGGTCGCCAGTTCCATTCCTGGTCAGGGCACATGCCTGGGTTGAAGGCTTGATCCCCAGTGCCGGGGCATACAGGAGGCAGCTGATTGATGTTTCTCTCTAAAATCAATAAAAACATTCTTTTAAACTCCACTTTTAAATGAAAATTGTATTACTGTTTTCCCATTTTATTTTATTTTCTGTGTGTTTTCCCATTTTATAAGTGAGCAATTGGAGGGCTATTCAGATATTTCATTCATTCCACTTGTTTACTGAACCCTGCAAGTTTCCAGATACATGGGTTATATGGCATTGAATATCAGATGTGTTGTGTATACACAGAATATTAGAATTAACTGAAAGGTATATTCATTGTGTACCTACTACCAAGTTACATTGTTTAGTTTGAGAAAAAACAATACACAAAATACTCTTGGGAAATCACAATGTATATTGGCATATTTAAGGCCTACCCTGAAGTAAACAATTTACTGAGCTTGCCCCGGGCATATTAACATCCTCTAGTGCAAGCATTCTGTGGAAAGCATCTCAGAAAATAATGTGTCTGATAGAGTAAAACACACACTCCTTAGGAGGTCATTCGTAAGTTGACTCTAAATTATTTTCAGCCTCATCTCCTGCAATTGCACCCAATTTTTTCTAGCCTGCAATCTGCTGTTTTAAACAATGCATTCATTAGAAATTGCATAATGACAAGTAATTATCACATCCCCTAGATAGAAACTTGGATTCCAACTGCCACCATTGCAGTCCTTCTCCAAAGGAACAGGCAGGAAGCAGGCTTCCTTCCATCAATTCAAAGGTCATATGAGATAAGTGTTGTCAGACACCCATCCAGCAGATGGAGAAACCATGGGAGTGGAAGGGAGGGACAGAAACACCGGCAGACCCCAAACCAGAAGGCTCGGCTCCTCTCATCCCAGCCTTAACTCAACATTTCAGTTCCTAGTTTGATGTTACGGACTCCATATTTGCCACCTCAGTTATCTACAGAACTGGAGTGAGAACCAACCAAGAATTAACATGAGCATGCACATAGAGGGCACGAGGCATGGCATGAACAACACAAACACAGAAGCCTAAGAAAGCTAATCGAGGAGAAAATACTGTGAATTGTCCTAGTTGGGGTTCCCCACGGGTCCACAGTGCGTGACGCATTCGCAGGGATGTGCATCATTTCAGTTCTCACACCTGCTGTCTCCTCTAGATGTGGGTCTTCCCCATTGATCATGCACAAATAATCGCTCTATCTGGGTGGGATTCGAACTATAACATAATCCATACTTGAGGCCCGATGCGATGCATGGAAATTCGTGCAAGAGTAGGCCTTCCTTCCCCCGGCTGCCAGCACCGGCTTCCCTCCGGCCCTGGCTTCATCCGGAAGGATGTCCAGTCTAATTAGCATATTACCCTTTTATTATTATAGATGGCCAATCCA